GAGACAACAAATCATATCTATTTTAAAAGTTGTACTGCTTGTGGCCCACAAACTGTTCAGTTTTGGGCACCACTGCCTAAGATAAATAAGTTGGAATGTGTCCACAGGGAGGTGATTGAAATGGAAAAGCTCTGGAAACCAACTGCGATGAGGAATGGGTGAAGGCTGAGTATGTTCAACCTGGAGAAGAGAAGATTGAGAGGGGACATGAAACCTATCTTCAAAATATAAGAGGCTCTTATGGACAAATCTGGGCAGAATCTGACAGAATCAAATTAAGGGAAAGGAGATCCCAACTGAAAATTGGGAATAATGCCCTGATGTTCAATATTAATGCAAAGAGCAGTTCATTGCATCACATTTTTATATTATTGCCCCCAGAGGACATAATCCTGGGAACATATGTTCTGTGATGCCATCAAGCTACCGCCTTCGGTGAGGGAAAATGCCTCCCCCCTCCCCCAATAGCTGTTCCTGAATAAAACCTTATCTGACCTCTTCCTTAGTTTAGTCCCAGCGCAGAAGAGTGGAGGATTTGGAAGTGCAAGTCTGTCCTTGTTCCACGACTACACAAAGCTTGGCTTGATGAAATGAGCACAGTGGCATTGCACTGAGTTACATTACCAGTGATGTAACGGGAAACTGGGGAGTCCAGATGCTTGCCCTGACAGTCCCCCTAGACAACCCTCAGTCAATAAGGTCCAAAAATGCACATAGCTGGATTACTTCCTCTCATCAATTTGGGGTGTGTGTGTGTGTGTCTCAAGTTAATGGTTCACAATTGTCCATTCAAGGCCAAACCACCTTTGAATATTTGGCATTACAGCAGAGGCAACTCATAGCAATAAAGAATCCCCCACATTAAAAAAAAACCCAGGAGAGGGACACAAAAACAGCCCACCTCTTCTATAGCAGGTAGAAGGAAACCCTCTTGCCAGTTTCTGAAGAGGATCCTCTCTGTTTTGACACCTCCCTGGGTACCACAGTGTCCTTCTACCTTCTCTGGCTCATCTTTGAAGTCCTTTCCCTGCTTTCCTCCCCATTTTTAACCTCCTCCCACCTGTTCCCTCCCTGGTTTTAAAGTAGCGGCAGCAGATTTGGTGGCAGGAGAACTAGGAGGGCGAGCAGCATCAGCATCAGTAATGCTGCCATGTTGGAGAAGGATGATGATGACCAAATGTGGGGTGGAGTTGCAGGTTCCTTGGCAATTGTGAAAGAGAGTCGTGACTCTAGCTCATAAGCCTCAGACACTCACTGTCAGCCGTTTTCTGGGCTTCGGATAAAAACCTACCCCAGCCCTATATGGAGATGATGTTGATTTGGTGTGTAAAGCATGTACTCTCCTACAAAGCCAGAAATGTTAACCTTTCCTCTACAGCCATTAACAAACAGTAACCCAGCAATGGGTTAAGATGGCTATTTTGTCTGTGTGTGTTTGTGTGTTTGTCTTTTTTTTTTTGCAGTTACATTAATAAGCTTTGTAGATTTTGTTATTATCTTAAATGGTTTCATCGGAGTTGCTTTGTGCACTTTTTTCTTTTAGCAACCTTGGCTGTTCCTATAGAATGGTGTGTGTGTGTGTGTGTGTGTGTGTGTGTGTGTGTGTGTGTGTGTGTGTGTGTGTGTGTGTGTGTTTCTAAAGCGGAGAATCCACATTGAGCCAATTGTAAGAAGGCAGTGTGCCTTCTCTGTTCAGGAATGCATTTCCTAGACTCACAGAATTGGAACACAGTTCTTGCAGCCTTGAAAAATTGTGGCATTGTTCCACAGTATTTGGCTTACATGCTCTTGAGTGTTATTGAATTGGTACTTTCTTCTGTTCAGCAAGTTGTGCACAAGAGCAATCTGTCAGGGTGTCATTGAGGATCAGCGCTAAATGTTACCCAGCAGGGTGCTCTTGTAACTCAGTGGGTGCCCTCCTCTCTGTTCTTTGATTATATTGGTTGCAGGAATAAATGGCCCTCAGGCTGCTGCATTAATAAAAAAAAAAAGAAGCATACTGTATCACCAATACAGTTAAAAAGCATTTCAGGTCCTAAAATTAATTCTAGAAATGAGGACTTCACATTTAAAAACAAAAGGTATTAATCGGCATATTCAAAGATTCCCTCCTATGTACAGTAATCAGATTACAGGGAGGTTCTGGCACACTGTGCTTCTTCTTCTAATTGTACGACTTAAAGATGGTCAGTTAAGCTGCAAAAGAGAAGCTGTTTGGAATACGCTTGGTCCTTAGTATGTCGCAGGAGCCGTGGCTCAGAAATGTGGTCTTGGACAACTGCCACAGTCATAAAAGAAGATCCTTTGGCAGCCTTCGGAATAACGGGGTAAAGCCCTTGATTTTTTTAAAGCGTAGTCCTAGAAAATAGCCGTATTAAGGATACATGGGGTAGGTGTTTTGGGGTGGAGGGCTAAGAATGTGACACGATAGTCATGTCTTCGGGTGTATGTCAAATGTAGGGCCAATTTTACCATTAAATGAGTGAGGTGGCCAAAAAGGTGATGGGAGGTGTGGCGACGAGATGTTAGAAGAGAGGGCCGTGTGCCACACAGACTGCTGTGTGCCTCCTAAGCAAACCCCCTACTTTTAAATGTGGTGGGGGAGAGCAGCCCACTTCCAGCATTGATTCAAGTTCCCAGTGCCGATCTAATTAGGTTTTATACGTAGAATAGGATAGGGTACCACCTTGATTGTTGTGTCAGGCGAGAAGATCTCTTGAGCCAGCCCTGATGGACTTAAATTACACAGCGGTGGAATCAGTGAAATGAACGATATTCTGTAATGCATTTTTCTTGTTGCGTTCTCTGTTTGTATGCAGTGGAGACTTATGTATGTTTAAATGAAAATAAACGCCATTCTTGCATATTCGTCCATATACCAAATTACACTTGGGTTGCACCTTTTCAGAGTGCCGCTGGGAGTCAAATATGTGAGAGGTCTCCTTTATAAATCAATCTGCCTGCATTTAACATATCAGCAATAAAAGATTTTAGTATAGCCAGCTCCCAGATATGTTAGCTCCCAATATGCAAGGAAATTTGAAAGTGGGCCAGGATGCATTAAAAATAGTACATTTCCTCCACACGGTGAGTGGAGCAGCCCAGAATTCCACCATCTCCTTTTGAATTATGTGTGAAACAGTCATAGTTCTCAGAAATTAGTTTCTGAAATAGGGATTGGATGATGGAGGTTTTGTAAAAAGAGGAGGGGGGAAGGCATGGTAGTTTCCCAAAATTAGAAAAGGAGGTATAATATTGAAAAGCTCAGGAATGGTTGGTCTGCAGCGTATCCTTATTTCATTGTATTTCTTTTTTTTCCAGTAAGACCAAATGTGTGGATATACATGTTATGAAAAATGATGTGGTTGTTGTACTGTGGTTCTCTCTATATATGTGGCTAAAGGGACAGTTAAATCCAAAAGGCCTATTTTCCTTATTATTTAAAGATAACTATCAATCTCAGTGGGTTAAATCAGTCCAGGGCTACTTGGGGAAAATTCGCCTCTCACCTCAGGCACTTATATCCTCTGGAATAGAGCAGGCAAAACAAATAGTTAAACAAAGAATAGAGGACAATGAAGACCAAACAGACCTTTCTAGCATCCAAAATATGGCAGCAAGGACTTACATCAAAAATTGTATGGTACCGGCCAAATACTTAACATCTTTGGAAATTAAAGGAATTAGAAGAGCCTTTACTTTGGCAAGGTGTTTGGCCCTCCCCTCTGCTGTACTAGAAGGGAAGTATAAAAATACCTCTTTTGCTGAAAGGTTATGCTCCTGCCACCTGAGGGAGATCGAGACCTTACAGCACATGTTCTTCACCTGCCCATTGTATGAAGCAGTGCGAAAAGAGACTATAACCCCCTTAGTAGATAGATTGCCAGGACGTTCGGAAGGAAATGGGCTAGAGTACCTTCTCTCGGATGTTGATGTCCAGATCACCTGTCGGGTTGCGAGGTTCTGTGTAGCAATTCTTCGATTGCGGAAGTTAAATACCAATTAGATTGCCGTTCCCAGTTGTATGTATGCCAACATGTTCTAATGGAATACTGAAAGTTAGAAATTTTAAGGTTTTATAAGGTTTTATACTTATGTGACTGGTCTAAGGACTGTAAATAAACTATTGATTGATTGATGTTATGAAAAATGATGTGGTTGTTGTACTGTGGTTCTCAGTTGGTACATTGATTCTTACTAAAGTTTTTATTGTTTCACAATGTGTGCTTCAGCTCTGTCATTGTGCTTCTCCACTCTACAAATATATAGTATATAGGTTTTATAGGAATCTAGTTGTTACTGCTTTTTCAAAAAAGAAAAAAAAGAAAAAAGAAAAGAAAGGTCAGGATTAGTAGTTCAATGATGTGGTGAAAATAACTATGTTGGAGTTTATTTATTTATATATTTAACGTATATGCCGCCCACACTACCCAAAGGTCTCTGGGCGGCTTGCAACAATTTAAATACGGGAAAAAGATAAAACAATTAAAATACAATTAAAATATACTTTGCAAGTTTCTCTCTTGGAGTTCTTCCCACTTCCATCACTGCTAGCAGATTCTCAGGGAGGAATAAGGAAAATGCTTTTAATTTTAGGGAGAACCCATTGTGAATATCTGGGATCTGGTTTACCTTCTCTTGCCAGGAGGACCTGTCCTGGGCCTACATGGCTGTGCCAAGGGCCACCAAGGGTCAGTTGTACTGTTAAGGAAGGAGGCCAGGGAACACTTCTTGAAGTTCTAACAGTTTGATGGAACCACCGCGCAGAGGTTTCCACATCAAGGAGCTGGGTAGGGCTAGCCCAGCTTCCACTGTGTGCCTCCACATCTGTGTTGCAGCTTCTGGGTGGCCATGCTTTGGCCTTCTCTTGCTTGATGAAATCCTGGCCAATGATCCAAAGATGTGCCCTCAAAAAACGAAACAGCTGCAGTTGGACCTATTGTTGTCTTGATCCTTTTGAGGAGTGTGTTTTCACACAGACACTTTGATCATTCTTGCAGGCACGAACGAATACACACTCGAAGACCGTATTGTGTTGATGCATCTGACAAATACTGTGCAGATGATGATCTTGTAAACCTGGAAGTTCTGGATGAGGTAAGATAACACCTAGATCATGAATTTCAGTAGGAAATGCCTGGTGTTGCCTTTGTTATTACTAAAGCATTCTTATAATAAATCGTAATTTTGTTAAATTAATTGTCCATATCTATGACATAATAAGGGCTGTATCATACAAGTCGATTATGATCTGTCATAGTTTCATTTATATTCTGAACATTTCAATTGTTTGGTTATGTGAGAGAGGCTGGTGACGGACGCGCAAATAATAAAGGTTCCTTTATTATTGGTGCATGCTATAGCGAGAAGCCTAGTTTCTGAACATCAAGGGTAGATGGTGTGTGTTTTCAGAACTACTTTTCAGCTTTGTGTATGGGCATTAGAAACATGTCTGAAAATTATATAGAAACTATCATGCAAAGGGCTTTCCAGGCATATAAAATTGTTTATATATAAATTATCCAGTGATCCTTTCCATGCATAAAATCAATATGTGGTCCAGAAATAGTTGGGGGGCAGTGGAGCTGTTGAGCTGACCGGACTGATTCCATCAGCAGAAATAAGAGCTAGGGGGTTGGTCCATTCCTGCCTACAGCCTTCCAGATAGAGAGGACAAGTCTTCTACTTTTGGAATGACCTTTCCTTTCCTATTCATTTCCCCCAAAGCATTGATTATCCAACCAAAGTCCATTTCCCAACTTCTCTTTGCCCGCATTCACTTCCTGGGACTGGATTTTGAGAGGGTTGGGGCTGGGACGTCTCCCCAAAGTGTTGGCACTTTCACTTTCTTTCCTTCAAGATTAAACAGAGGCCATGGAAAATTAGCCAGCTCCTGCCTGCCATTAGTTTCATTTCTTGGCCATGTGAGAGTGTGACAGATGGGAACAAATAACTAGCTTTTATCTGTATGGCTGTTCAGTGCCATGAAAAGGTCTGGGAGTGTCTCGGCAATAGCATTGCTAAGCTAAACATACTGTACATGGATCTGATCCATCCCTTGGATGGGAGCCTAATATTAAAAAATGAGATATTGACATTGCATTTATGTGATAATTGAAAAATGCAGGCGCTTGATCCATGCATGCCAAAAGGTCATTGAGTATAACACTGTGTTGCAAGTCTGCTGAAGTCAGAGTAGCCTAAAGGGTAAGACTCAAATTAGATGTGGAAAACCAAACCCTGTTCAGTTCTGGCTCAGTCTGTATACAATGGGGATGAGTGCTGAAAATGCAGCACGGACAGGCAGAGGAGCAGAGTTGGATACTCTCCCTGCCATACATTTTATACCCCAGTTGCTGTGTCTTGGTGGCTTTTCTCCTTATGATAATAGTAACTAGTTGCCATCAAAACAATTCTGAGTTTTTGCCAGGTTTTTCTCAGTTTAAATTGCTCAGAAGTGTTTGCCAGTCCCTTTTTCTGGTGGTGCTCTGGGACCGTGCTGCTTGTCGAAGGCTACACAGGTGGCAGGGCACAAGGCCTCATCAGACTCTCTCCCTGGAGGCTCACTGGGGATTCAAACTCCTGGCCTCTGGCTTGTAGGTAGGCCCACTGAACTGTAGAAATTCTTGTGTTTTGACACAAAACTGAGGAAAATGACATCCGTTGGAGAAGCCTCTGGGGAGATTTCAGCCCATGCTGTAGTTTAAATCACTTTCCCCCCCTTTGTTTTATATTGGTTGAGGGTTCATATAAAGTCAATGTGATTGTAACACATGAACCTACTGCCATTTTGGCCCTTAAGTACCACCCCATATGTATGAACTGACGACAAATGTATTTCCGGCTGGAACAGAATTATTCTAACTATTAATCCTCTTGGAATTCTTAGCCATACAGAAAGGTAGCCTATTTAGATTGTCTCATAAAAATAAATAATAGTGTTAATAATTTTCTGTGCATAGCTAGATTCACTAGTTTGCTTCAGTGCGTAAGAATTGTTCTGCATATCCAACATTCCCGCTCCTCATACAAAAGAAATGGTAGATTAAGTTGCATATGAACTGAGATAACACCTTCATGTATTGTTCACCTAGCATCATGTAATTCAGGTGTATGGTGGACTTGAGGCACATAAACTGTACTTTCTTTCATAATGAAAATAATTTAATAACATTTATGTAGGATAGGAAAAGTTGAGATCTGGTAGCTCCTTTAGATCCTTTCCCCATTTTTATTATTTTACATGAAAGGCAGTCAGGTCTCAATCCTGCCAAATTTAAGCACTTCTATGCGAAAATAAATTTTAGTGGGCAATTGATTGGAATTAATGACATGTAAAAGCATTTTACTTTGGCTTGCTTTGAGCCTTAGCTAGAAAGCTACAATCGTAAGCAAAATCATTGTACATTTTGTATTTATAGCAAGCAATTCAGCTTAATGGTATTGGTATTACGTGGAATGGAGTTTTTTAAAAACACAAAAAACACTAAATAGATTTTTATTGTACTTTTCTGTTCCTACTCTGTGTCTACACATTAGCATTTCTACAATTTATTTTTCCAACCCACACTATAACTGAAACTTAATAGACAGGCATATTACTTTTTACTTGACATAGTTATAGATGTATCATTGTGAGAGATATGGGACTGTGAAAATGGCAGTTTGATATAGTGAAGTCAATATTTGACATGACAAATAACTAGCTTATTGCTTCATGCATGTGGTGGACTTCCTTACAATAACTTTCCTATCTGAAAAATACTGCTTAACTGTCAAACTTGTAATGTTTTCAGGATACAATTATTCATCAGTTGCAGAAGCGCTACGCAGACTTGCAAATTTATACTTATGTCGGAGATATCTTAATAGCCTTAAACCCCTTCCAGAATCTTAGCATATATTCTCCACAGGTAAGAGACAGCTCAAGCCTTGGTTCTAAAAGTATGTACTAAATAATGGATAATCACACCATTTTGCTTGTCTTGTAAAAGGGAAACAATCAGAACAATGTATTTTTAAACATAGGCTACAGCATTCTGAGAATAAATTACTTAATATTTCCTCTGTCATGGTTTAAAAGTGGGGTAAAAATATTTTAAATAAATAAATATATGAAACTATAGTTGCCCTTTGTTTTGATTATGCTGTGGAGCATCCTACAGGCAGGAGTAAAAAATAAAGGGCTGGAGGGTGGGGGGGGACTATAGCTCACTGACAGAATACATGCTTTGAACACTGAAGGTCCTGTGTTCAAATCCCACATGTGCCTTTAAAGGGATGAGGAAGCAGGTGATGGAGAGTGATTTGGTCCCCTAAAACTCTGGAGAGTTGCTCCCAGTTAAAGTAGATGACACTGGGCTAGATGAATAAATCTCCTAACTGGATACAAAGTACTTTTCTTTAATGATCTTACAAACAACAACAGAACAACAACAAAAAACCCACACACATTGTGAGATGTTTAAATGTTTATGCCTATGAGGGAGCATCCACTTGCGTAGTTGACCTGTTGCGCTTTGCCAATTCTCTCTTCTCATCTAGTTTTCCAAGCTTTACCATGGCGTGAAGCGTTCCTCAAATCCTCCCCACATATTTGCCTCTGCAGATGCTGCTTACCAAGGCATGATTACTTTTAACAAAGACCAGGTAAGAGAACACTTAACAGGTCTTTCAGAATTTAAGTCTTTTTGATACACTACTCAAACATTGTCCAATGTGCAGCTCTGTAAGATTTTGCAGATCTAAAATTGATCCTAGAAGGTTTTGACATAGCTTTAAACATTTGATGGTTTTAGATGTACGCTTAAGATTTTTTAAACAGCACACCAATGAATGTAATTCATTGGATCCTCACTTAGCTGTATAAAGAGTAAACCCAGTGTCCAGAGTCCAAAAAGATGGTTCTGCTTGCAACAGTGGAATTATATGTGGGGCCATCCCCCTCCACTGTATCTCCCCCATATAAGTATTTTCTATTGTGCTGGAAGTGAAGTACTAGCATGATGTTGGTTCTAGACCAGGGGTGTCCAACCTTTCACCTTCCCTGGGCCATATTAGAAGATGAAAATTTGGTTTGGGCCGCACCTATATTTGGTTTGGGCTGCATGGGGGGGCAGCCCTAGCCGTCCTCCGCAGCTTCGACTCCAGTGGCTTTATGGGGCCAGGAGGGGGTCCACCTATTGAAGAGGACAGCACAATGCAGTCACGCAGCCCTCCTTTCCCCTCCCCTCCCACTCCTTCCTTCCTTCCCTCTCTCCCCCTCTACTGTTGTGGCATGCCCGGCCACATTCCAGCTGCAAGCGGCGGCAGTGTAACTTGAAACTTTGGAATTTCTTTAAAAATAAAAAATTGCACTGGGCCGCATTATGAGCTGACCTGGGCTACATGCGGCCCTTGGGCCACAGGTTGGACAAGCCTGTTCTAGACCATCAAATGAATGGGTCTTAAGTTAGTCATAACTAACTTAACACTCACTGATTTCAGTTTAGGAATGTGACAGATGCATGACTGTGTGTGTTCTGGAAGCTTTCTCATAAGGAGCCAGGTCTGACTCTAGCTTCAAGAGTGCAGCTACATGTTCAAATCGTTGATAAAATGTAGGCAGTTTTTGGTATTTTTCCCCAACTCATTTCTCATTCATTCACTGTTTTATGCACATACCCCCATATGGCAAAATATTCAAAGGGGAATGGGTCTCCCTCAGAGATTACCATGTTATGACTTGGTTGATCTGAGATCGTGAATGCCTGTGTACGAGCAATCAAACTGGTTTAACTGGTTCATGTCTTTTAACCAGTACTGCATAAAAGCAAACCTATCTCCATGCAATGCAGCCAGAATTGCCGCAACATCTGTGCGCAACATTTTGGTGTAATTGTCCTGGACATCAGTGCCTCCTTCCTTGTGCCTAGAGTCCTTTCAGAATTCTTAAATTATGCTGACAAAGCTTTGAAAAGTTTAAAAGGACTAAGTGTTCCTTATAACTGAAACTGACTACATCCGAAGCCGTTTACTGTCTGGTCTAATCAAGTTCAGCACCCATATCCTCGTTGGTAACATTTTGTGGTTTGGCTTATGCATGCACAGTGCATACGATGCACATCAGAATTCCTCATGCTGGCACAAGAACACTTATGGTTCCTGTGCATTTTAAATTACTTTTTGAAGTTACTTTTTAAAAGCATTTCAGTGCAATTTTTTTAAAAAATTATTTTATTTTAAAATAATTTCTAACATACAGAAACCATAAGAACATCAAAAAAAGAGAGAGAAGGAAAGAAAAAAAAAGAGGAAAAAAAAACCAGACCACGTATACAAGAAAAAAAGAAAAAGGGAAAAAAAACCCCTAACTAATCCCTCTATTTAAGTACACCCTCCCCCTTTGGAGTCAGAGACTCCAGCCTCATTAGCCCCTCTACTCTCCCTATATCGATTTGCAATATATACTAAATTGTCATACATATGTCATAAATTTTACCCAAGACTCCTGTCTTCTTCTGGGCTCAAGAATATATTAGTCCCCAGCTTTGTTTTACATAGTCTCTTGGCTGTTCCGGTAGTGCTTCTGATAGAGTGTCCAGTTCTGCTGTGTCCCATAGCTTCTTTAACAGCTTTTCTATCATCGGAACCTCTTCTGTTTTCCATTTTTGGGCCCAGAGTAATCTAGCTGCTGTGAGTATATACATGAGACAATGCTTCAATTTATTATCATTTACTCCTGAAATGACATTCAATAATGCCATTTCAGGTTTTATATCTAACTTCTGCTGAGTAATTTCTTTTGCTAGATCCCATACCTGTGTCCAATAAATTTTGACCTTTTCACATGTCC